TTGCCTATGTTTGTGGTCGAGTGATAGGTACGGACTACAGCCGTTGATAACTGTATATTTCTCTTTAATTTAAAAAATATGTAACGATTCTTCTATTCTGAATGGATATGTACACAAGTATATTATTACCTATTTTTTAATTTGATGTCCCTAAGTGTTTGGTTGCATATCCGTACGCATCGTCACAAGACGATACGTTTATGAACAACATGGAGTTGTATCCCATCTATCTCTACGCATTGGAAACTGAGCCATGGCTATGTCGCTCTGTTCGACAACTGATCAACGAAGTATACAGTCTATGAACCATGCAGACCAGATATAGGGTGATTATAAGTGCAATACTTGTATTCGGCACCGATTATACTTTAGTATTAAAGATTTTTTGAACTATTCATCGCAAAAGTAAACGTTTATGCTTGTGGCTGCCGGAGGCTCTTCTCCGACCCAATTCAAACACTTCGGCGCTGCAGACGTTAATACTCAAAATCTTTGATCCAAACAGTGTATTGAGTGTCAGCTGCTATCCTCTGTCTATTGTGTTAGCTGAAAGCTCTCTATCCATTCCTGGCCATCCCCAATACAGTAAAGCAATCTGATGCTAGCGCCCCGACAATTCACCCAATCGAATCGAAATGTCAGCTATGCCACCCATCGACGCCACCGACATTCCGTCAAATATTGAAGTTCCAAAAATAAATCGCAACTTACCTACCACGGTGCACGAAGATGCGGAAAATACAAATGCGGATCTAAGCGTCTCAGCAAAAGATGAGGGCGAGTGTGATACCAAAGTCACAACACAGGATAGTGAGTCCGCGCCTGCTCATGAATCGGTAGACATCCCTGGTGAGCAGGTAGGTAAACTCCTGGAGCAATATGTAGAGGAGATGGGCTCAGACAGCCCACCAATGGGCATTCGCTTACCACATGTGGCCATGACGAGAATGGCAGTAGACAAAGATGGGGATGGGCACGAGAGTAACCCATCTGTGCTAGATAGTACACCGTTTACTACAGGCAGAGCACCGCCAGTGGTAAACAAGGCAGCGTCTGGTGCGCAGACGGTCGGTAGCCCAGAGAATGTGAGTGCGCTCGGAGCTGTACCTACTGTTGGCTCGCTGAATTGCGGGACTGGAATAGCGGGATATGAGGAAATCATGGCAATGGATGTGCATCCACACAAGGAAGAGGCGACAGCAACTGTAGACGCCGTACCAGACGAGAATGAATTGGCTTCGGCGCATGGACATACCGATGAAAGACCAACTGCGGTATCACCAACGGGTCCTTCGAGTTCTGGTGCAGCCCTCACCAGAGATATTGCAGAGAACTTACCCAAGTCGCAAACATATAAACATTCACAGCCACCACTTCCATGTAGTCAAGCTGATGCAATAGATACACAGGCCAAGTCTGATGCATGTGATAGTATAGATATGCCCGTCGAGTCTGACGCAGATAGTAATGCCCAGAGTAACGGTACGAGCGGTAGTGAAAGCGAAGGCGAAGGTGAAAACGAAGCCGAAGACGAAGACGGAGAGAAAGCCGAAAACGAAGCCGAAAACGAAGACGGCGACGAAGGCGACGAAGGCGACGCTGCTGACTGTGCAGTGGTTGCCATGGAAACGGAGGAAGATACACCAAACGCCAATGGGAATGCGAAAGACACAGGAGGCGTAAGTCTAGCAGAGTCCATAGCTTTAGCCAAAATAGAAGCGCAGCGGGCGCGTAGGCGCGAGAAAAACCGCGAGTACCGCGAGAGAAAGCGCAGAAAAGAGCGCGACGCCATGGCACGGGAGCTCCAGCGGAAGGTTGAGAAGGCGGAAGCTCATAAACAGCGGCAGCAGAAATTGGAGGAAGAGAAACTGGCTTCTCAGCGACTGCGAGACGAACGGTTCTGCTTCTGTCGGGTATGTGGCGAATAGTCCGTGTTGGTGCATTCCCCGGATGGTATGTACCACACACACTCAGCGGGTGGTTATGAGTGGAAAGTGGGTCGTACCTGTGGTGTGGGCAGGGTGTTGTCTTTGGAGTGTCTGAGGTGCGTGCCCTAGCGCAATAACGTGCGTGGGCCGTGGTGTGCTGGCGGGTGTGTGAGGTGGCGTGTGGCAGGTGGCTGGAGTGGGAGGCTACAATCGCAAAGGAGAACAGTGTTGTTTGCAGCATTTGCAAAGGCGCAGATGGGTGTATTCGAAGATCCTATAGTCCATGTGTGTTATGTCGCAGTCATTCGAATGCTAGTCATAAATTATAATCCTATGGTATTAATCGGTATATGTGGCTTGTCAGTGCAGTATTAATGTGTGTCTACTTCGAATTGGTCGAAGGTCTTTTGGCCTGTTGATGCGCACAGGTGCCGTTAGGTGCATATTCCAACTGGGCGATATTGGGCATGTGTATACAAATGAATGTGAGAGATCAATGCTGGGCGCGTTGTCTACATTTTTCATATAACCGTTTGGCCGAGATACTTGTGGTACTGGATGTGACTGCAATGTCGTCTCAGATATTCTGTTCGGACGGAAACCCATCGCTGCTATCTGAAGTGTCACAAGATCGTCTTGCGCCTACCTATGTTGCGTGAACCTATACCTACTCGATTCTACCGGGTGATCACTACCTACAACTTGCCCCAAGCACCCACCTTCAGTCCCGTCTCCCCACCGACTGCCCAGAAACCGTACAACGAGAACGTGTTTATGATCGCCTGTGATTCGTGCGATGAGTGGTTCCACTCCAGGTGTATCAACACGACCGATAGAGCTCTGCGCAATGTGGACGCCTTCTACTGCCCACAATGTCTGGAGAACAATCGCTACTTGTTCATAAGGTATGTCGCACCACATGCACTGTTTTAGTATTGTTTGGATCACATATAGCGTGGTAGGAGGGCAGCTGTAGTGCTCGAGTCGCATCAATTATAAACCCATGAGGATCAGATACTTTCTCGCTGGAATGCGCTGGAATGATGAGTTCATGGCTAGACTATTCGAACGAAAATGTCTATAAGAAGTAGCTGGTGTGTAGCGACGAAGAAGTATTGCTCTGTCTCGGTGCAATGTGCTCCTCAGAAGTACACTGAGCCCTATAGCTCACTATCTGGAACAGGTGCAAATATAGAGGATACGTTTATCTGTATATGTTTTATATGCCTATGTATACATCTACTTATACGTGTGTGATTGTTTGTGTATGGGATACTCTGTCTTCTCAATATATACATCGGTGCTACTCATCGTACTACTGCAGACAAGTGCATCTGTGTACATCGATTTTACAAACACAAGTACGTATATATGTCTGATCTCATCACTTTAACCAGATTAACTAGCAAACGCATGACTTAATACCCATCTCATCAGTACTTCTGAATTGACTGTTTTCCATACGTGCGTGCGTGTGCTATAAACAGATATAGCAAAGTTCCGCAAAACTACTCGGACGACGAAGTAGACGTGGACGTTAGTAGCACCGGTAGCAAACCAGACCATTCGGATACTGCGCTGGAGGTGAGTGCAGCCGCACAAATAACCAAAGACACCGCACACGAACCCTCACCCATGCCCACTGCGGCGGAGGAGAAGCCGTGCCTGTACCACAAGTGCACGCGCTCAGGTATTCCTGTCTCATGCCTTGCCTGTAACTCGGCATGTACTTGGGCCTAGTGGCTCATACCATTGGTGGATTACACCTGCGGTACTGACGTGCACGAATCAGATGTTTGCGTATCCCGTACGACGGCGTTCGTGCCTATTGTTCTTCGCCTCGGGTGTACCTCAGTTAGGCAAACACGTGCGTTGCTCCCGTGCATATGGGGTTGCCAGCCATCTGCATCCCCCATGCATGCGATATCCTTTCTGCAATCTGTATACACCCATACATACCAGGCTACTAACACCTTGGTATGTCTTCATTCCCTATCGTATGTGTATGGCTTCATCAGCTGGACCCAGGACCAAGTACTGCAGCCACCAATGCGCACTTCTCACCAATGCTCTGCGTATCCGTGCGATGATCCGGTTGGCCAAAGCCGCGCACGCCGCCCAAAGCAACGCACCAACAACTCCACATACACAAGCACACGCACAGACACACGCACAGAGGAGCACGCACACACCCTCACACTCACCCACAGCTGCACAGGCGCAACCTCACACAAAATTAAGACCACACACGTACACGCACACGCACACACCGTCACGCGTACAAGCACACCCACAAGCCTCCTCACATGCGCTGGGCCGTTCGCATCCGTATGCACGTGCCAGTGGGTCGGTGAAAGAGAGGAGGGATGCGGAGCACAAGCAGCGCATGGCCGAAATCACTGCCGAGAGATGTCGCATTAAGCGGTGAGTACGCTGCGTGTAGACGCGGTGGCCCAATTGCTTCTCCGTGCGCCTGTGTGTGTGGCCTCTCACTAAGACTTGTGTTGGAACAAACCGATCTCAGTGAGCTTGTTACTGGATACATTGGTTGTCTTTTTCTTATCAGCTTTGTCTGAGGTGTGGTGTGCACTGATATGGTAATGAACCACACCGACCGACCGTTGAACCCTAAAACCCTATTTGTATTCTCAGGTCTATTGAGTCCTATGAACGACTGGAGCAGTTGCTGAGCCAAATAGTTGACGAGGGCAAGGAAGCGCACACAGACACTGCAGAAGACACAGGCGACGCCGCACCCAACGACCAACCCACAATAGGTGCCAAGGCGAATGAAGGTATGGCGAGTATCACTAGGCCTATCTGTACCATTACTACAGTCCACACACGAGCAAATACGTATACGTATACATACACCTAGTCCTAGTTGATTTGGATACGGCTATACTGCTGCAGCTAGCAACGCACCTGCCCTTTACTTCAGCAGACGTGCTAGGGTTTAGAGTTTTAGCCACGTAGACTTTCGCATTGGTACGGTATAGTTGGTGCACTTTATTTGGATTCACGATGAGACGGCTTAGAATAGGAGCCACTGCTTAGAAGGGAGCTCGAGTGTGGGATTGGGTAGGTAGACTGTCGTCTCAGAGTAAGGTCTGGTCGGTGTGAGTGAGGAATGGTCGGTGTTGAGGGACAATGATAGTAAGGCGTAAAGATGGGGGAGCGAACCATCTGCGTATGTATGCATTAACTTGCATGTGCGACCTAGCAGGAGCAGGAGGATCACATACAGACGTGCAGTAGAGCCCTAAAGCGTTTAGCCACTTGCCCCTTTTGAGCATAGGCCTAACACACGTCCATGGATAAGCAGATCCGATACGCATTCCAGACTGTAGATGGGAAGGGGTATATATAGAGACATACCTGGTTGTACACGCACGTACACGCTTCGGTGCGAACTTCACTCGCGCACGAGCAGCCTACTGGCGACAATGCAACTCGTGTATACGCGTAACTTATTAGTACAGAAAGCGTTCATGCACGATGTATGCAGTTAACCTTGTACATACATCTGCCCTAACGACCAAGCGCTGAGATCCGCAGACCGTCTTCGATAGAGGAGCAACAGCTCTGATGTGCATCACCTACACACTTTATAATCCTAACGCTTCATCACCGCAATGACACAGAATCGCGACAGGAGACGGCCGTAAACAAAGGAGAAACAGCACCCAGTGCCACGGCGGAGGGGGCTGTGACGGTGCCGCTGGAGGACAGCGTGATGTGTAGCATGTGCGGGTCTACCTTGAAGACCACCATGATGGCCAGGCATCTGTTTGCGTGCTTCACGAAGGTGTGTTGTGGGCTGTGTGTGTAGCCCTAGTTGGTCATTGGCGCTTGAGTGTCCCATGGGCATGTGGTGCTCCGCATTCGCTTGTGTGTGTGTGTGTGGTGTTGGGTGGGGCGGCCCTTTCACTTCCCTCTATACCTCTGTGCCCACTATAATTATCTGCTTCTTATGCCTTTGAACGTTTTAGATTCAATTTCGTGCGTGTCAACTAGGCTTGGATTACGTCTTGCCTCTGTCGACCTCTGTACTGCGACTACTTCTGATGCGTCACCAACACACTTCTGGCTCGTCAGTGGCACATGTTGCCCTAGTAACCGTCTTGGGGCACCTGTTGTCATTGCAACCGTTCTGCGACCCCATCCACAAGGGCTTCACAGTCATCCACACCTTCATGTCGACACGTTGTGCACATATCTCTCACTCCTTCGCACTCGCAGAATGAAGCGTTACAAGTGCCCCAGGCACTGTATAATGCGTTTCCGTACACGCATATGAGCGAAAGCTTCTGCCAGAACAACGGGAAGTCGTCCGAGCAAATCCGCTGCCACCATCTGCGGAACACCTGTCCTCTGCACAGCAGGTACAGGATGAAGGTGAAGGTGAGTATAGTCGTGAGATATGCTATTGGGGTGAAGTGTATGGCAGTAAGATGCAATATGAAAGTGCAGGTGAGTGTTGTCCTGATATGTACCATTGAGGTGACGGTGTGGGCTGTCCTGCGATGCAGATGACTAGTGAAGGAGTGAATTTGAGTGTTGTCTCGTGAAAGTGTGAATTGAGTGTTGTACTCGAAGCCACGGTGTGTATGGTAGTGCGCTACAGAGGAATGAATAGTATAGTCGAACGCTTTGGTGAAATTGAGACTTGAAGTGAACGTGCTTTCATGCACGGGCGGCCGTCTCCTGAGAGACGGTGTACCACTGATTTGTGGTCCTCCATCGCAGAATTGCAGCAACGCGCTATTTGATGGCCGGTAGGTATGGTAGGTTTTTCGGAACTGCCGCAACAGAGCAAAAACGAAGTGTTTGTGGCCCTAAGACTTGGGTGGTGGGGCAGGGGGTTAGCCAGTGTACCATCTGGCGCATGTTACAGGCTCTAGGGTAGGGTTTTAGGTTTTAGGTTTGGATTATTTCTGCACTTGTTCGGAGGGACACTCACTTCCGTCGTGGTCGAGTCTCGACATCTCATGTCGACAGATGTGCTTAGTTTCACAGGTTTATATTGAAGGCATAACATTGGCCATATCGCCACACATGTCAATACCTGTGCCTGGTATTCTTGTCATTCAATAGTGGTGCAAGGTAACTTTGTCACAACGTCCAAGCCAAATGTGTTCTGCGTGGTTTCGAAACAGATACTTTCTGTGCGGCAATTAGGGGTATATCACTTGTGTGCGGTAGTCGAGTTCTATTGCATTTGATAGTTGTTGTACTGCGTATATATGGCCTCCGCGCATACCTTTAGCGCCGATTTGCATATGTACTTTTAGTATGTGTTGCTTACTAGCTCTTGGGCTTCTCCAGTGTGTTACACACTTCATGTTGTTGACATATCAGAAGAAACTTGTTCAATTCACATTGCCCACATCAGACGAACCTGAAGCACTTCGCATCGCCTCAGAAATAGCCTGGAGAAACAAATACAGCCAGTCCAGACTGCGCGTAGTGTGCTATTGAACTCTACGTATGCATTGACTCAACCCCAGGTAACGTCAGGGCGCAAAGGGACGATAGAATGCGCATATCCGCTTGGCATCGATGTGGATAGTCTTCTGCACAAAGTCAACAACAACGAAGCCGTCTCCACGGCTTACGCCCGCTGTACTGAGGTGTGTGCATGACCTGTACTGTCAGATGCCGGAGATGTTGTTCGTTCAGATATATCAGACCCGACTGATTTGATCGGGTGCTTTGTACGATGTTTATGTGTATGGTTTAAAGAGCGTTGAGCATGTTATCCCGAGGCATGTCAGTAGCACAAACACATAAGCATCGTATCTGGCCAGCGGTTTCTTAACATGCTTGTGTGGTTATATATATATCTTTCGATGGTGTGTGGGACGCTAGGACTAGTTTAGACGCTGCACTCTATAAACTTAAGTTGCAGGGAGAAATACTTTTAATCGCTGTTACGTGATTCATTAGTGTCTATCGCTAAAATGCAGATCGCATCTCCCTTAGCTTGAATACCTATCCAAGCATTAAACAAAAGACAAATCACTTGTTGCACGTCAAAGCGTGTATGTATATTATCAACCCACCTACTTCAAGAAAAACATATGTATATATGTCTGCGTATATGTATGTGTATATGTATTT